TTTTAAAAATTTCTATAAATAAATAAATAAATATTTAATTAAATAGGATTTTTACAAAAAAACAGCATTTTATGTTAAATAAACTTTATAAAGACCCAGATTTCTAACTTTCATTCCTGGGGATACCATGGATAATTTTACAAGGTTTAATGTAAGATTTTTGCCCATTTTTTGAAAAATACAGGTTAAAATTTGTAATAAATCACTTTAACCACTAGATGGCTATAGAGCTCCATTATATGCTATTTGCTATTTGAATTACTGAAAGATATAGTTTCTAAAGTTGGATTCAGTTGGATTCATATCTAAATATTATAAAATCACAATTATAACAAAAACAATATAATTTTTGTCAAAATTTAGCATTTTTTGTACTGAAAAAACACTATGCATGGTAAACCGCATGATCTCTGCAGACAGGGTTGGAGCAGGTTTGGCACTTCACTGTTGTTGTTGTTGTTGTGTGTGTGTGTGTACATTTTATTTGTATTTTTATGTGTACAGTGTCACCAATTTACTTTTGTGGTGGTTCTTCATTTTGTATGATTTTATTTGACAAATTATAAGACTTTTTATAGCCTTACAAATATATTCCTGTGTGTGTGTGTTTGTGTCTCTCTCTGTGTGTGTGTGTGTGTGTGTGTGTGTGTGTGTGTGTGTGTGTGTGTGTGTGTGTGTGTGTGTGTGTGTGTGTGTGTGTGTGTGTGTGTGTGTGTGTGTGTGTGTGTGTGTGTGCGCACATTTTCAATGCGTCTAAGTGTTACCAATTTATTTTTCTGGTGGTTCTGCATTTTAGATTATTTTATTTTACAAATGATAAGAAAACAGTTTTTATAGTCTGTATGTATTCCTGTATACATGTATTCCTCTTTATGTGTGTGTTTGTGTGTGTGTGTGCGCCTATGGTGAGCATGATAATTTTGGATTGTGGATGTTTGTTGGATTGTTGGAAGTGTGCCACTTTATTTCTGTCATTTCTGTCTATGTGTTCTACGTTGTTTCTGATTTTGATGATGTTATTTGTCTATTTTGATTGCGGGGTCCAATAGACCCCGAAGACCACGAGTGTGACTATTTTTGTCACGCCAACATAAAAACAGATATCATTAAATTTTTTTTTTTTTTTTTTAGATCTAGAAAGTGTTGAGAGCCGTAGAAAGTTTCAAACCATTTGGACAAAGAGAACATTTTTTTTTAATTTGAGCAAAAGTCATTTGGGGTCCAATAGACCCCGAAGACCATCAGAGGGTTAAGTGAGAACGAGAAGATTAAAGGGGTGGTTGATTATGATTTCACTTTTCTAACTTTAGTAATGTTGCTGTTTGAGCATAAACAACATCTGCAAAGTTACAACGCTCAAAGTTCAAAGCAAAGGGAGATGTTTGCTTTTAAAGAAATTGCTTTTTAAGGACTACAACAAACGGCTGGTAGGGACTACAAGACATTCCTCCCGGGTTAGTGACATCACTAACCCTAAAATTTACATAAACCCCGCCCCCGGGAACGCGATTTATAGATTATCTTGATAGAATATGCTAATCAATGATTAAAAGATTGTTAACTCCACATCAGCTACATTAATTTAAACATAAACAAAAAAGTTTTTGCAATTTTCAGGACACAAGCTCTCGAAGCTCCGCCCCCGTGCTTAGAGCAGCAGCTATTTGCATTTAAAGGGACAGACACAAAAACAGTGCATTTTTGCTCACCGTTAAAAAGTGACAATTTTAACATGCTATATATAAAAATATCTGCGGGGTATTTTGAGCTAAAACTTCACATACACACTCTGGGGACATTGGAGACTTATTTGACATCTTATGAAAAGATATACCATTATACCACCCCTTTAAAGCTTATACGTTGACCACCTGCAGCCTCTTCTGGGAGGTTCACCATTCTACATTCGATGCATCCTCGATATCAAGAACAAATCCTGGCACATTCATGCTTCCTCTGTATTTGCGTTTTTGAGAATTGATATTGAACTTCGATGGTTGTTGATGACAAGAACGCATATTGACAAATCAATGAATGCAATGAATCGAGACAACACGTTTTTCACAGGCATTTTTTTTTTACCGTGTCTTTTAGGCACGTCTTTCAAAATAAAAATAAAAGTCTTGCATCAAAAAAAAAAAAAAAACATTTAGAATTACATTTTTGTTGTTGATGCTGTTTCTTTGACTGCTCATGCAGCACGCACGCCGTCCGACTGTCGGTGCTGCAGTAAGTTTTCTGTTTGGCAAAATAATGAGACAGACACAGTTGTGCTGTTATCAGTAACAAGTCGCTCTTGTAAATCTTTTATTACAATAATTCATGGATTATTTATATATTTTGTATTTTTAAATCACAATATCTTGTTTCACCTTAAATGTGACTCACTCAAACAAAACACCAATAAACGTGTTACTTCACTCTTGTAAGTCTTCTTTTACTCAAACTGTAGTATTTTTCTCAAATAACTCAATACTTTTCCCCATAAAACATACATCACAATGTAATCAGTAATCACAGTAATCGGTAATCAGTGTGCTGGAAACCTCTAACAATTCAGATTTTATTACATTAATACCAAGCCTGACGCGGGATGTCCGCAAATTAAACGTCATTTTCATAAATGCAACACTGTCTCTAAACATCTTAACTCTACTCAGGAAATGTACCCTCCTTAAAACAAAGTACACACGCCACCAATATACAATATTGTTTCATGTTTTTATTGTCCATGGTGATTGATTTCACCCTGTTTGGCAAAGCAATGAGACAGACTTGTGCTGTGACGAGTCGCTCTCGTAGCAACTAGTTGGGGGCGTGGTTGGCGTGGGGGAAAACACAGCGAACTTCGTGTGTATAGAGGGGTTTCACGACGCGTCATCAATCCGGAAGTCGGCCATTTTGGAGGCACAGAACGTGAATAATGCCACTGAACTGAATGGACTCGCAAATTTGGCTGATTATTGCTGCTGAAAAATGGTCGAGTTTTTGTCTGTACCAATCGGTCACATCGGGAAAAAACATGTCGAGTGCTATAGACTGTCAAAAGTTAAAGAGAAGAGTGCAAAAAACTGATGAAAGAAGGCGTTTGTGGTTGAGAGAGGTACAGCATCAGACACATGTAAATGAAGCGTTGACTATGGCTAAAATGTCGACGCAGTTAATGTTAACTATGGCTACATTCACACTGTCAGTCCAAATCCGATTATCTTTGTATCAAATTGGAATCTGATCTAAAATGATGTCCACACTGTGTATCGCAACTGTTCAGATCCGACGTGTGTGTCCATGCATGTTATTTGGTAATATGGCAATGACTTTGCGTTGATGGAGGGGTTGCATTTGCAATATAATGTTAGATGTTGTCTTTTTTAAATGTTACAACATGGAAATGTGTAGCCGCCGCGCTGGACTACTACGGCAGAACTGTAGGAGGCTGGTATATAACGTTAGCTACTGCTTTTTTCCCACGCTCGTCTGCGCCGGTTTCAGAAATAATATTTTTCTGCTCGTCCGGCACTTTGCAACAACACAGCATTGTTTCGGCAGTGACTTTCAGCATGTTTCCTATAAATTACGTTTGCATTTTAAGACATACCACGCGAAATCCGAGCGTTCAGACTGAGGCTGATGTCCTGATATGTGATTTGAATAGGATTTCAAACCACATATGGATGTAACTTGAAACGAATTTCATGTGCTTTTTTGGACTGACAATCTGAACGTATCTTATTTCGGGATAATAAATAGATGGAAGAATTGCAGTAATGTTACGTGCTAGAGAAGCTAACTCGTTCGGATCTTTAGCAGCTACCACATAATGTGACCACATAAAACATATTAACTTTAGTTTGTCAAAATGTTTCGCTCTGTCCTGCTTCCCAAGTCCTTCTCTATATGATTTCGCACCTACCACGTGTTTTTTCCGTGGTTTATTAGTGTAACAATGTGTTCAGTAGTACATGAACAGTGCAATCCATGCTGTTGTTTACATCCGAGTGCCTCCATAATGGCCGCGCATCCGGGTTACCGCCCAGAACGTGACGTTGGTGAAACCCCTCTATTTGAATGACAAAAATGTCGTATTGAGAGTCATTGACGCCTGCCGACCGGCAACGGTACATTGCAAAATGAACTGCAATAGGTTATGATTGCCCTTATTTAATTAAAAACTGGGTCAATGTAACAACCAAATGGCCAGAGGTGCCTCGAACTATTCCATAGGTTCACCTTTCCGGTTCTGTGTGTTTATTAGAACTTCAATTAATAATTTGTTTGTTTATTGGCGGTACAGAAAACGACACAGCACCTCTTCGGCATGATTGTCGCGTGTATTTCAATGAACGCCAAGGCAATAGGTGTGTTCGACGTCGGCTGCGGCTGGATGTAAGCGATCGGCGAGAGTTGCCGCGTGCAGGCGGGGAGGAGCTGCAAACGGAGACGTGAAGTCGGACACTTTCTGGTTCCCGTAGTGACCGCTCACGTGGTGTTTGCATACTTTACCACACAAGTTCAAAATAAGCCTATATCAATGAAGTGGAGTCAACGTTTTTTAATAAACATGACACAATATAACATCGTGACTACATGAAAAGACTGTTTACTGTTATAAAAAACTGATTTGTGAGCTTTAATGGAACTAAAGGTTTGAGAATAAACACGAAACACACGTGATCGTTGTCATGCGGTGAACCCGGCGAATCGTGGAACAGCTGTGACGTCATCAGAGCTGCTCTTGAGAAGCTGCGCTGGCTGAGTTCTCCGGCTACTCTCAAATCGCTCTCGCGGTACTTTGATGGCATACGTCACAGTCATGTGGCGTCGGCGCTGCATCAAGTCGGACAAAATTTCTAACCGGCATGCTCTGCTTCAAGTCAGCCGCCGATCAGTCTGCGCAGAGCTGCATGAAGTCGAACACACCTAATGTTTCCCCCCACGGGCTAAATTCACATCACGTGACGGGGCGTTCCCAGACCAACCGTCTGTATGGCGGCTTCTCTGCGACTCAGTTACCACAGTCTCTGATCAGCACATTGTCTCACCCTACAGTCCACTGAGGGTATTACGCACCACAAGTCCATAATAACAGTAATTGAAACAATATCATAAACACAATAAAATAAATCAAATACATGATGAAAAAAAAAATTCCTGTGACTATACATACAGGGTGTCACACTCACTTTGCGACCCACTCAGAACGGCCTTGCGACCCACCAGTTGAGAAACACCGAATTAGTTCTACTTATTTTTTTTTTTTTTTACTTGGGTGACTTATTACATTGGTAAATATCATTGAGTGACCCATAACATTGGTAAATAACATTGAGTGACTCATAACATTCATAAATATTATAGAGTGACTTGTGTGCCCTATAACATTTATAAATACCATTGAGTGACTTGTGTGACTCATAACATTGGTAAATTTCCGTGAACAACTCATAACATCGGTACATACTTGTGAATGAATCATAACATTTGTCAATAACATTGAGTGTATCATAACATTGGTAAATATCATTGACTGACCCTCCACTGACGATCAAACTGAATGTTTTTATGGTGTCATCACGAGTGGTCCTGATTTTTCTGGTGATTTTTGTGCTGTCACACTTGGGGTTTCTGTTAAAGCTTTGGCTGGTTCCTGGGCTCTCTCTTCTGATAATCTCTGCTTCATAACGTCCAGTGTGTTCAGATGTGATGTTTGTGATGGTCAGAGATCCAGTTTCATAGTCCACCTTCACTCTGCCTCTGAATCTCCCGTCTTCTCCATCATACAGACAGCTCGTATCGGGATCATTGATCAGAGCTATGAGAGTGTCTTCAAAATACCACAGCATCTTGTCATGTTGTTGTTTGGTAACACCAGTGTTTAGAGTAACAGAGTCTCCCTCCATCAATGACACTGCCATCACTTCAACGCCAAACACACCTGAGGACACAAATAAACAATGAGGCTTCTTGTGTCTGTGTGTGTGTACAGGTTTCACCACATACAAATATATAACCTGAAATCAGCTACAATGTGTAAATCAGCTAACCATCCCCATGAGGAAAACAGATTAATAAACATAATAAATAATGTTTAATTAATAGACCTATCTGAAAATGCAAAAGGTTCCAATTAGAGGTAGGCTTCGGGTTATGGGAAAGAAAATATCGAAATGGCTTGTAAAGAATTTATCATTAGAAAAAAAAAATTTAAATAAACATTAAACTGAAATAATTTTAGACAATCCTCATTCTAGCATAAAGGGATCTTTAGAATTGAGTCATAAACCCTAGGGTTTTATGTAGAAACCTCTTGAACCCCCATTGAGAAATCTGGTAGAAAAATGACACAACCCATAAAGATATGATCTCTTTTCCCCAGGGGTGCTAAAGGAAGCTAAGCACCCTCAAACAAAAGCATGAACACCCTGAGTTAACATTGTGAAAACCTCATATTGGTGATTGGTGAAACAGATTTGGCAAATAGTTTAAAACATATTAGTGTTTGCGCTGTAGAGAACATCAAATGTTTCTATTTACAGTGTGTTTTTGCAGCGGTGAGCAATGTAGCCAATCAGACATGTTTGTTTGTTGATCTCTTGAACGCAGTGGCCAATCAGAGGTGTTTCATTTTAGTCAAAATGTCAGTTCATTCAAAAACGCCAGAGTTTTTGTTCATTACTATACACAGTGAATCCTCTCATTATAATAAACGAAGTGTAGACACAAATACACTTGTAAATAAGAGGTTCATTGTGCAGTATAGACAGCTTCATTGGTTATAATAGAACTTGTGAGATCGAGATGAGTGACTGTCACGATTCATGAATTCACTGTCTCCCTTTTGTATTGTTGGGTGCACGTGTGGGCGTGTCTTGTGATCACTACCGCTGATCAGGTAGCAGCTGCATCTGAAGGTTCAGTTAGTTCAGTTTACTTAAAGGAGAACTCCGGCGCAAAATGAACCTTTGGTCTAATTACACATTGTTACCTAGTCAACCGTTATCTGAGATTTGTTTTCATGATTATCGAATGTAAATAGTTTTATCTCTAAAAACAGTTTAGCCTATAAAGCTAGTATAACGCTAGTATATTGGGCATAGTGTAATGACAAATGAAAATCGCTAGTTAATACCACTAACAAGGCTGAAAATAGACCCACACTAACACGGTAGCATAATGAGGGTCCCTACCTTCAAACCGAAGCATTGAGAACTTTGTAAGTGTACAGACAGTTTAATAAGAAGATATTTTAAACATACAGTCAACTTCGTGTATACAGGCAGAAGCCATCTTTGAAATACAGCCTTTACCAGTCGATCTACGAACGCCGATCCAAGTGCGCTGGTGAGAATGATAAGGTGAGCGCGAACAGCAGGCTTGGATCGGCGTTCGTAGATCGACTGGTAAAGGCTGTATTTCAAAGATGGCTTCTGCCTGTATACACGAAGTTGACTGTATGTTTAAAATATCTTCTTATTAAACTGTCTGGACACTGACAAAGTTCTCAATGCTTCGGTTTGAAGGTAGGGAGCCTCATTATGCTACCGTGCTAGTGTGGGGCTATTTTGAGCCTTGTTAGTGGTATTAACAAGCGAATTTTATTTGTCATTGATCTATGCCCAATATACTACCGTTATACTAGCTTTATAGGCTAAACTGTTTTTAGAGATAAAACTATTTACATTCGATAATCATGAAAACAAATCTCAGATAACGGTTGACTAGGTAACAATGTGTAATTAGACCAAAGGTTCATTTTGCGCCGGAGTTCTCCTTTAATTTAATTATGCAAACTCGTTGCCTTAATATCATCAAGCAAGCATAACTTAATTGCTTCAAGTTATTCTCACTTAATCCATTTAAGTTTTGTCAACTTAATTCTATCTGTGATCTGAGGAAGTGTACTCCCAGAGTGCATTGCGGCATGAATAAATTAATTGCTTTGTTTTACTATTTTTGGCTTTGTTTTACCATTACAATTTTATTTGCTATCGTTATTGGGGTTATACTGACAAGAGACAGCAAATAAAATTGTAATGGTCTAATTCAGGGGTCTCCAACGCGTCGCTCGCGAGCTACCAGTAGCTCCTGGCCTGATTGGAGGTAGCTCGCCAAGGTTGCCGTTCACATATCGCGTCTTTTGCGCGCTCAAGTTTTCAGAATGCCGCGAGCGCACCGCAGCTCATGTGACAAGAACCAACCAATCAGCTTCACCCTTTCCGTAACAACATTGAAAGCTCAGTCAACATGAAGGAAACATGCGGGTGTTTTTCTCTTCTCCGTAAATAAATCTTGTAGCAGAGCTACAGCAAGCGTTTTTCGGTAGTGGAAATCCATTAGCTACTAAAACTTCTTTGTCGTTGAGGAGAGCATATGGTTGCATAGCAACGACAGACGCCACGGGAAAATCGGACCGAATTTTACTATTAATAATAAAAGATAAGCTAATGTGCATTGCAAATGTCCGTAATTTATCTTTTTTTGACTCATTCTTTTTATAAAAATGATTTAAAGGCTGAAATATGTGAGGTTTATGTTTTTATAAAACCTTTTTTGTCAAAACTTTATTTGAACTTGTACATGTTAGTAGATAACAACATGTTGCAAGACACTCCTTTAAAATCTGACTATCATTTTTAATGTTATTATTTTAATGTTTATTTAAACAAAAAGTGCATATTGATGCTATTTTTTTGTTATTTGCTGATTTTCGACATATAACTTGGTGAATTGATTTTATTTAGTAGTATTTTTTTTAACAGGATTAGACTCTAATTAATTAAATTATTTAAAAAAAAATTGTTACCATTGTTGTGGTTTGCATGCTGAATGTTGAAGTCTGTGTGTGACTCAAGCAAAATTGCAAGATATCATCACAAATATAGAGGGATTATATAAACCCAATGAAATATGTATGTCATAAGTGTCAGCAACAAAATGTTAAAAGATCATTGTTATACATGAAATATAGCTATGTTATAATTAATATATTCATTCATAACATGGAAATAATTTAAGTATAAATGTATATAATATTTATTACTTCACTTCCTTTGAAATCAAATATTTGTGATTTCATGTTGCATCACTGCATCAATTGGAAGATAATTACAAATATAAATTAAGTTCCAAGTGCCCAACCAAAGGGAACATTAATCACAATAATGGTGAGAAAGGGGAAATCAACATGAATTTATGAAGTCAACTAAATAATTTTTATGTTCTCTTAAAATGTGTAGGTGTATTGACAATAATATTCAAGATGACTGGACAATGAGTGAATGCAAATAAGAAATATAGCTGCAAGCAGCCCTTACGGGGCCAAGCGCAAACGCAGACGACAAGACATGCCAACATGGCTGGAAGTTTCAGACCGACAGCAGCAAGGAGCAATTTAAGACATTTAAAGATAAATTTAGACAAAATGGCTTTAATTATATATACAGTAACTTATAAAATGATTTAATGGTTTATCACTTCCGACCAATAGGTGGCGCAGTGCAAATGTAAACATTTCAAATTGAGATTTTTATTTTACTGGTTTTCACATTGGAGCTGTGAGTGTAAATTAGCGTAGGCTACAAGTGCGAATATTTCTTGTTCAAGTTCTCAAATTCACATCTACGTGGTCTCGAGTTTTGCTACTTTTTTTCCTGAATACTGATCAGCGATCACTATTTAGTCTCACTGTTTTTGTTGCGTCCTTGTCAGATCGTTGTGGATGTTCCCTGCATTGGTCTCCTGTCTACCCTCGAGTATCCTGTTTGCTGTCGAGTTTGTTCCGTCATCTCTCCTCCCCATTCCTGATCATCCGGTCCTCGAGTTCTCCCTGCTTCAGTGGATTAGGCTACACCTCTTCACCAACGTCAGACATGGTTGTCCCTCAGTGTCCATGTGCTACCAAGTGCTCTATAGGCTACTGGACATTGACTTACCATCACCTCTCACGATTTCTGCCTGGACTTCTAATAAATACTGTTCCACTTGCATTTGAATCTTCTGATTATTTCTCGTAACAGTGACAGCTTTTAAGCTTTTAAGCTTTTAATATTTGCATGCTTTCTATGCCATGTTCACAATTTAAATTGCTTGTATTTTGTTTTTCATGCTAAGAGGACTAACGGCAACGTACACAATGACATTTTTCATATAAATGTGGGATTTACTCTCGAAATTGCAATAATTGACAGTATGTTAGTTAGCATATCACAGCAGGACATAATAGACTGTCAAAAATACATGTGGATTGAGCAATATTAATGCAAAATAATAGCCTAGGTAAGTAGAAAAATATTTACATTTTCATATAAAAATGCTGCTGTTTGTAAAAATAAATAAATAATAATGACATAAATGTTTTTGTAAATCTCTCACTGTTCAGTACTTATTGCGCTGCTTAGGAGCCTTTGTCAATATAAAACCTCTCTCACTCATTTCAGAAGGGTAGAGAAACAGCTTCAGATATTTCAACTTAAGATGCATTGATGCATTATTTCAGGGAATGTCAAACGCGGTGCATTTGATCAAGCCAATGACAGTCATGCCTGCATTATCTCTAGACGTTTCCTTTTACCCAATGATTAATAATGAAATGACAGATTTGATGTAATAAGTATAAAACAATCATGGCCTATACATTTTTGTTGTTGTTGAAAATCAGTAACGAACAAGGAAATATACTAAATGATTTAAAACAGTAACAAAGTAGCCTACAATACAGGATACAATTTTTATACTATAATAACATTCATCGATGAAAAGGGAAAGCCTTGAACTACAAAATCAAATAGTCTAATGTCTTACCATCAACGAGCAAAACGCAGAGAGTGAGTACAAACCAGCGGCCCATCACTTGTAGCCTATGTATGTGTTTCTTCCTGCAAAAAAAAAAAAAAAAGAATTTGATATTCAATTTAAATATAAATTTCGGATAATAAATACACGACCTATTTATCCACATAAAATCACAATAATCTTTATTTCTTAGACCAAATGAAATAGCCTACTGAATATTGGTTTCGGTTAATTCTCGTAAAAGAAAGTGAAAGCAGATTATCCGCGTGAATCCCCAACTGGGCGGGATCGTCAACTACACCCACAGTGCAAAATAGCCTAGGCTACATAACATTATTTTCGTCATCTTGTGAGACCTATAATTGCGAAGTCTCTTTAAAAAAATAAATGTGAGTCACTGAATGCCTGTGAAGCAGCTATAGATTAGTGAAACTTAGATGTATAGAATTGACTAACCGCGCTATTTGACTCACTCCACGCAAGCACCATATTCATGAACTCTTCTTTTATTTTTTTTTAAATGTTGAATCCCTGGCAGAGACTAAGTCAGCTTGTTGAAAATTTTGTCATTGCTCATTTGTTATTTCAGGAGTCCACGCCCACTGAAATTGTAATACTAAAGAAGCCGTGATCCGATTGGTTGTCTCTGCTCTGGTGGGCGGGCTACCATGGCTTTTCTGGTTTATGACGTCAGATCTACACGAGGTTGAGAGGAGAACCATACAAATGTTGTGTGTATGCTTTCCTCAATATTGAATACGCTGGGGCCATCAGGTGGCCAAAGTATTCTTTAATATTTATTTAATATTAATACATTTAATATTGTCTTATATGCCATGCATTTTATCTTTCTTTGTCAATGATATGTGTAAGAGCCAATTAGCGCTCTTAGTATAAATAGGAATCAATTTGGTTCCTTAGATGTTACCCGGAAGCACAGACAGTTTTTGACCACATACACATATGCACACGCAGACGCCGATGCCAGTACAAAGTCACACATGTGCAATGAAGTTTGTCTGGATATGGCGATATGATGGAAATAAACCGAACCCATGGTTTTAACTGCAAATACGACTTGGACTTTCATTAATCAAACAAGGTAAAAGTGCGTCAATTACTCAACCCCGGGAAAACACCTCAGAGGCTTAAAGTTTGGACTTGGCCTCTACATAAGTTTTTTTTTATTGATTTATTATTGCTTTGCACTTATTTCCTTTAGCACAGTTTTAACTATGCAGCAAAACTGCATTTGCTTTGGCAACAACAAAAACATTTGTCATGGTAATAAAACACCTTATAATTCAAACTGAAAATTAAATAGCAATTACTGAACTGAGTTGGCCTGACGTTACCAGATGTTTAAAATTGTTATTATTATTTAACTCAATGAATTATAATTATTAATAAAAGTTTTCTGTACTAATTGTGTGTACATCTACGTCTTACCCCAAGGGTCTAACTTTAAACTTTCATTACAGACGAAAAAAAAAAAAATGTGTGTAAAATTGTGTAACAAATTTACAGCATTTACCCACACAGACAGTATGGAATGCCAAAGCTGACTTAATTAAAAATAAATAAATACATAAATAAATATACGAATAAATGTAAAAAAGCAAAAATACATAAATAAATACATAAATAAATATACAAGGAAATGTAAAAAAGTACAAAGAAATGAGTATTTATACTTTTATTTCCTTATTTATGTATAATTGTATTTTTTCACACATTTATTTTTTTATTTATACATTTATTCATTTATTTATTTCCACTTTTATTTATTTCCGCATTCATTTATGTATATATGTTTTTATGTCAACATTTATTTATTTTCACATTTATTTATTTATACATTTATTTATTTCCACATTTATTTATTTCCACATTTATTTATTTCCACATTTCTTTGTCCGTATGCTAACGAGGGGGGCGTGTTTTACCTCAGACATCAGCAATCGAGCTCAGAGTGGCAGTGCTGAAGCTTTGAGGCCACAGTTACACCTTGTGGTGTGTGACCAAACGAAACGCAAGAGGTGTGCGGACAATATCACATTTTAAGTCATGTATATCACCCTAACTGTATGTAGGGTAGGCTATAGGGTTAACACACATAGCACACATGAAGAGAAACTGCACTTCAACGGCTCTGATAGCAGACACTTGGACATGGAAGCGCATGAAAGTAGCCTATCCACTATTAATAACAATGTAAACGCGGTGGATAGGGCTGATAAGAGCTTCTCGATGATGAGACTCGCACACCAGCGCAGAACGCGGAGAGAAACCAGCGCACATTTCACTGACTCCTACGCAAGCATATTGATCAATGAGTTTGAAACGCGACTCAATACACGGTTTACATTCGCGTTTCCTAATTTCGTATGCATAACCGGTGACAATTCAAATGCTTAAAACACAACCCATATTTCATAGATGCTGCTCTTAGATACTGATTAATCACAAGTCATCAATTTGGAATTGTTCTTAAATCAAACAAAAGGGGCTCATGTAAACGCAGCGAATGAGCCACGCATCTCACCCCATGCAGTGGAGGACAGAAGCATCATCATGCCCATTCAAACAGCACCTGTCGTGCCCATGGGCGTGGTGATATTTCCCCCTATAAATTGATGTTATATCTACCCAAACCTTATTAAATAGGTAGGCTATACATCATCATATATGTCAAGTTCTTAATATTAATCGATAAACTACTCAGTTATAATTATAATAAGGCACTATGGCTGTTATCAGTAAAATAAAATTAACAAAAGTCATTAAGTCATTAAAAGTCAAAATCTTAATACAGAGGAGAATGCTTTTACACTGCAAATACAATTGCATAAAAGTCGTTATGAGATTAATGTTAAAAATAAATGAATATAGAAATATGAAATGATGGAATCAATTAAATTGTATGTTTCTGTCAGTAATTACTCACCCTCATGTTGTCCCAACCCCGTAAGACTTTCGTTCATCTTCGGAACACGAATTAGATATTTTTCATTAAATCTGAGAGCTGGATCACTCCTCCATAGGCTTCTTAAGAGATCGAAACTGGCCGGCCCAAAAGTTATGAAAGACATCGTTAAAATAGTCCGAGTGACTACAGTGGCTCAATCTTAAGTTTATCAAGCGACGAGAATACTTTTTGTGCGCAAAAAAACAAACAAAAATAATGACTTTATTCAACTATTCATTTCCTTCTCTGTTGGTCTCGAGATTCCACGTAGTGAAACTACGCAAAGCTTCTAGGTTGTACTTAGTTTAATTAATGTCTTAGTATTCGGATTTTTAAAAAAGAAACCAGAAATTAAACACAAAAAACAGTAAAATAAACTTCAGAGTAGCGGTAGATTAAACAGAGATTGTAGATTGAAGCTAAATGTTCGTAATTATTTCAAAGAGAAGTGAAGAACAAACAGACGAGTAACACAGACGCAAAAAAAAAAGAAAAGAAAAAATTAACAGACAGAAGAAGAAATGGGAATAACTGGTGATTACCGTTTAGGAAAACAATATTTATATTCAGTACTGTAAGCTCACGCTCGATCGGCCCAAAGTCCGGCATCCAACCAGCACCGAAGGTCTTTACGTGTTACTGTCTTTTCCCGTGGCAAAGTATTTTTGATTAAGTGCAATGCATTTTCTCATAATGCATTTTCTCGTTATTTCATCTGACTCCATAAATGAAAAGGTTTTTAATGATATCCGTGAATCATTAAATGTGAGCGAATGTTTGACTATTCCTTTTAACTAAATAATGTCAAAGTCTCTTAGAATAATCAAATGTAACATATTTTTTTATTTCAGGTAAATATCAAGTCAAGTCATCTTCATTTATATAGCGCTTTTAACAATGGATTGTTTCAAAGCAGCTTTACAGAGATAAACATATAATTTAAGGTAACAGAGATTGTTTTGGTTTTATGTATCATTACAATTTCATAATCAGTTCAAAGATAATCAATACAAAACAGCAAATGCTCTGAAATAAAGAGGTGAAATGTTAACCCGACATTAGGAAGTACGTGAAGGAAATAGGAAATACGTCTCGGCGACTCTCAGCATTCACAGGCTGATGTACAGAAAAGCCCTGAGCTCTCGTTGCGTTTCATTATATAGACAGATCTCTTCAAATGTAGACATGAGTTCACAGTGGAAATTCACCTTAATCACCGTCACGGACTTACTGGGTTTGCTAACAGTGGAAATTTGTATTGAGTTAAAACCTTCTGACCATTTGTCTGTAAGACACACCCTTCTGTGTGCAAGATATTTCTAAACTCTTATTACCTATAATAACTTTATTACCTTTTGATTTACTTCTTTGGGAATGATACATTTGTACCAGTCGCACTGAGACATTTCAAATGATACCAAACATGTATAAAACTGTATGATAATTGTTCATATTAAAATCCTATATATTTTGGATGAATTTCAGAAGATGTGAGGGAAAAGAAGTGGGGGGAGAATGGGGGTTAGAGGGAAAGAGATATAGATTAGAATGATTCTGGGGTGAGACTTGCGTCTCGAATGCACAAGAGTGAGTTCAAATGGTAATTTCCTTTGTTCTCTCAGAGAGTATACAGCCCTCTCTTCCAGTTTCTCCAGTCTTACAGTACAAAACTCCTGGCCTTTGTATTTAGAGATTCTGAATAATTTGTTTACCAATGTTGCTACACACAAAAATTTTAGAAGAATCTCTGCCTCAAAACTTTAAAACTAGTTGTATATTTGCTTCAAATAATTTGCAGGGATATTCAGATATGAAGAGTGTGTGTTTCTGATTGATTCTGTGTATAATGTGATGATCTGTGAGGAAAAACCTGAATCCAAACGAGATCTTACAGTAATTTACCTGCTTGATTTCAGAGTATCTTTTATCTGGAAATAGCAAATGCAAACCCATCATATTACCCTGTATGAAAAGCAAAGCTTAAAAAAAAAAAAAAAAAAAAAAAAAAAAAAACTATGATAAAAACACTTACCAAACCGTTGCCACAAACACAAGCTGAACAAAACACCAACATGAACCATTTTCATGG